TCATCATGACCCACAGTAAAAATGAATTTTACACAAATTTATACACATTTATATACATACATGCAATGGAAACAAGATTCACCAAAACTCTAAAACAAAGCTGTAACAAATATGATTTTACTAGTATCCAAATTCAACAAAAATTCAGATATAATACAAAATTCCTTGAAAGACCTGTTTGTATGTACTGTCTTCAAGTGTTCTCTCTCACATTCTCTACCACCAGGCTTTTACCTCCTCTATTCCACCAAAACAGCTCTTAAGAGGGTCACCACAGACCTCCACATTTGTAAATTTAAGGACCCCTTCGCAGTCCTCAGCCTGTTTGACTTGAGAGCATTTGTCCCAGCAGTAGCTTTGATACAGCCCACCACTCTCTCCTCAAAACACCGGCTTCACTTGGCTTCCAGGGCATCCCTTCTGGGTTGCCTCCTAACTCAGAGCTTTCCCTGTCTCCTTATTGTTTCTCTTCATAACTGATCTCTAAACATTGCAATTATCCCGGACTTTTCCTCTGACATCTCTTGCCTTGTTTCATCTTGCCTCATTTCTGAAGTAATGTTTTTCAGTGAGTGCAAATGCACTTCTTTGGATATCTCACCTTTTGAATGGCTTTAAATTCCAAGTCTATGCTAACTTCTAAATTTTCATCTCTAGCCCAGATCTCTCCTCTGAACTCTTTACTTGTATCCAACTTTTTTTAATGGGCACCTCAAAATGCACATGTCCAAACTGAACTCCTATCCTTCCTTTCCATGTAAGTTTTCTTTCTGTAGACTTGTCCATTTCATGAAATTCCAACTTTATTCTTCCACTTGCTTATGCCAAAAACCTTGGGTGTCATCCTTGACTCCTCTCTTTCATATTCCACATGTACTCTTGACAAAGCCTGAACTCTACTTGCAAATACACTCAGATTCAACCACTGCTACCCACTGGCCTTTAACTAGCTGGCCTGCTTCCTCCCTGGGTAATTACGGACTTTTCAACAGAGGAAAGTCTTATAAATCAGATCATGCAACACATTTGGTTCAAAACCTTCCAGTGGATTCCATGTAAGCTCCATGTAAATGCTGAAAACTTTACAATGGCCTACATATGACCTGATCCCTGGCTACCTCTCTGACCTCCATAACAACCTCCTCTAGCTCACTTCCAATGCAGCAACAGTGGTTTCTTGGCCATTTCCTTAACATGCTAAACACACTCCTGTCTTATGCCTTTGCATTTGTCATTTCCTTTGCCTAGGAGATTCTCCCTTTACTTTCATTTCCTTCAGATCTCTGCTCAAACATCCCCTCAAGTTCCCTGACCATTCTTTTTAAAAAAGCATCCCCACTTCCAATCCCACGCTGCTTAACCCCTTTCCCTGCTTCACTTTTCTGTATTGGATTTATCATTATCTGCTACCTTATAAATTTCACTTGTTTACTAGCTTGTTCCCACGGCCGAAAGCAGGAACTTTTCATCTGTTTTACTCACCGATGTCTCCCAAAGCACCTAGAAGAGTACTTAGCCCACAAAGTTCAATACTTAGGAAATGAATGGTTTACCTGAAGGTACAACCACTCTCCAGCTGTATTTGGTATTAAGCAAGGCACCATCCAAAAACATCTTAGAAAGCAAGAAAGCTACCTTCATAGTTAAATTTAACCTGGTACATAGTTAAGCATTTAAAATACACTAAATGTATAAAATACTGGCTGTCATAAAAAATGATAGAAGCTTACTTCACAGGCACTGAATATTCATTTATTTAACAAATATGTACCCAACAGCTACTAATATGCCAGGCACATTTAGTTTACCCAGGCAAAGCTTCTGAAAGAAGGAACACTTACTGTATTAACTTCTTCTCCCACAGCTAAATGGCCTAGGGAGAAGCCCAGGTGCGTGGTCTGATACTTAGACTAACCTGAAAGGATACATTACACCTCTCCTGAGAGTCTGAACTGAGAGATACACCTGTAGTCACTGGATGGTAGATGGAACTGCAAGGTAGTGATGAAGAATGGCTTAGGCAGCCGTGTCAGGCAGTAGGCATGAGGAGGATGCAGAGAATGCCAGGAGAGGCAGACGAGAGAAGGTATGGGGAAGAGAATGACAACATGGCTTTCAAAAAACATAGCATCACTTTGATTCCTGGCTGGCCAGGTCCAGTTTCTGTGATACTCAGCTTCAGCCAGCCTTTGTTCCGAACCTTGGATCATTAACAACATTGGTTTATAATTGGTTAGACCTTTACAATCCTACCCCTTATCCAGGTAAGTACCAGTAGTTTTCTTTCTACATCTTTAGACAGACTCCATCTCACCAAATATATTCCAAAGAGAAATATTCAGAGAATCAAGGTTTAAAAAAAACTATGGTTTATTTTTAAAGGCACTAATAAAAGTTTAACATACTTAAGAAAGTTACAATATACAAATGTGCTCAGCTGTGATTTTGACAGACTTAACTTCTCTGTAGCATATGTGACCTTGAGTTTCTTTTAATTACCCACATTTCCAATGTTTAGTTTTTAAACGTTAGTCCCTTGAAACACCTGGTGGGTTACATAAGCATGAAACACTTGCAACAAGAGGTAATGCAGATGACTGTGCTACCCAACAAGGGTTCATGAAGAAAATGATGAAATTTCCATTCACATCAACCAGGACACATCAGAAAACCATTCTCCTTGGGAGAGAGTTGCACCTGAATTTGAAAGAAAAAAGTCTAGATACAATTATGAAATTTAAAAGGCTGTTTTCTTATAAAATCATAATGAGAAAATGGAAAGCAATATACTTTTCATGGTAAATACAACTAGAATAAAAGTATGCAGATGTAATAAATAATAAAGACAATGTAATATTAATTTCAATCTATGGGAAAGTCAATTCATTTGGAAGAGTAAAAATCCAAGAATATATTTTTTAAATTCTAAGGTACACTGGTATTTGATCTCTCCTAATAGAATTTAAAGCATATTAAAAACAATGGTTAAAATCATATGTTTAAAAACATAGTAATTAAAACAATTCAAACAACATTCTTCAGCTATAATACAATTAAAACTGGAAATTAAATCTGCTTAGAAATTAAAACAAACATTTCTAGAGTTGAAAACAAAACTCGAAATTTTGGAGTATCTAGAAAATGGTAATATTCTACCCAACAGAATCTACAAAATACAATTAAAGTACTGTTCAGAGAAAAATTAATAAACAATAGATAAGGGAATAAAAAAAATCTTTTAAGGAAAGCAGAAGGAGGAAATTAATCCCTGGCATATCACCTGGGGCCACTGGACTCAATTCTAGTCATTGACTTTTTTTTGAGGAGAGCTAACTGTAAAGATTCATGATTAACTCTTTCTTAGAGGTCTGGCAAAGAACAAAGAGAAAATTTATTTACTAAAACAAACCAAAACTCTTATCTTGCTATAACTCTATGCAACTCTTATACATCTAAAACAGAATCTTTCTGATTTTGTATCCCTTATCTTATTTATATTATATTTATATTGCTTATGATTATGTTTTTATTATTATAACTCACTGTAGTATTTATTATTATTATATATTATTATATTTTTATTAACTCATTGTGGTAGCTAGCCTTCAAGATAGTCCCCAATAATTCCTACCTCTTGGTATTTAGGCCCTTGGGTCATCCCCTCCAGTTGACTGTATACTCCCATTCCTGTGACTCTTGTACTTTTTTTTTTAAGATATCATTGATATATAATCTTATGAAAGTTTCACAAGAAAAACAATGTGGTTACTAATTTACCCATATTATCGAGTCCCCACCCATACTCCACTGCAGTCACTGTCCATCAGTGTAGTAAGATGCCACAGATTCACTGTTTGCCTTCTCTGTGCTATACTGTCTTCCCCATGACCTCCCACACACCATGTACACTAATCATGATACCCCTCAATCACCTTCTCCCTCCCTCCTTACCTGCCCTCTCTCACCCCTCCCCTTTGGTAACTGCTAGTCTCTTCTTGGAGTCCCTTCTTCTGCTATTTTCTTCCTTCATTGTTATACTCCACAAATGAGGGAAATAATTTGTTATTTGTCTTTCTCTGCCTATTTCACTGAGAATAATACCCTTTGGCTCTATCCATGTTGTTGCAAATGGTAGGATTTGTTTGTTTCTTATGGCTTAATAGTATTCCATTGTGCATATGTACCACATCTTTTTTATCCATTCATCTACTGATGGGCACTTAGGTTGCTTCCATATCTTGGCTATTGTAAATAGTGCTGCAATAAACATAGGAGTGCAGATGTGTTTTTGAATCTGAGAATTTGTTTTCTTTGGGTAAATTCCTAGGAGTGGAATTCCCCCGGGTTAAATGGTACTTCTATTTTTAATTTTTTGAGGAACCTCCATATTGCTTCCCACAATGGTTGAACTAGCTTACATTCTCACCAGCAGTGTGGGAGGGTTTCTTGGACTTACTTTTAAAGAAAAAAAGTAGAATGATATGTGATTCAGAGACTAGTTATAGAAGTGGGTGTGGTGTTGCTTGCTAAGTGGCTCATGGATTCCTGACCCACAGAAATAAGAAGGTAAGTATTTGTGTTTTAAAGTTCTAAATTTTGGGGCAATTTGTTATGCAGCAATAGATAATGAATGCACTCACCAGTTATCTCCAGCTATGCTGAAGAAAAAACGAAGACTAAAATAATAAGAACATGGAAAGACGTAATAACCTAAAAGGATGACATAATAAATGATGCAGTGAAATAAAGCATCACTATTGTATCATCCTTCAGTATTCTTACTCTCTTGCCCAAAGTACTGGATCATCTTTCAAGAACTTTTAATAGAAATATAAAGACACCATCCTTGCAGTTTTTTTAGGCTTTCCTTGAATAGTTGGAAATTTATACTTTTTTCCTGTCCATAACAGAAAGAGAACATAATGGACAAAGGAAGTCACTTGGTAATTATTAAACTCAACTAGAAGATGAATGTAAAAAGACAACATTTAGACCAGCAGTCGGTGAGCACAAAAGAGGTAATATAGTACTATCATTCAGTTAGTACTTCAACATGAAGGATTTCATCATGTAAGATTTTGTGATAAAAACCTGAACCATCCGTTTGGCTAAAAAGACATGTGGCAGTGTTCATTTTTTATGATGCTTGTGCATCAAAATTTACATGGTAGAGTGTAAGTGGACAAATGTGGAAGACAGATGTGCATACAAGTAACTGGAAGTTAACAGATGACGTAGAAATGAAAAAAATATTTTTATTATTCAAATTGGTGTTTATAAATGTAAAAATGAAATATTTTGCTGTAATGCAACAAAGAAGAGAGCTATCATTTGTCTATTCAACCAAGTGATAAGCCATGAAGTTTTCAAAAGCACTATTTTGAGGAAGCAAGTACATTAAAGAATTGAAGGAATGATAAACTAGAATATAGTAGATATGCATTTAAGCTCTAGAATCAGAATTTGAAAGGTAAATACATTCCAGCTTCATACATAATGGTGAACATTCAGTTGCATTCAAAAAATGTTATCCATTTTGGAGATACATATATGCATTCTCTCACACATACACTTACACATTCAAAACTGGGAAAATATGCAATAAAATTTGGGCTTGCCATTTTTGAATTATTATTAGAATTGCTAACAAATTTATTTTCACAATCTCCTTATTCTTCTGCAAAATGCTTGTAAAATGACTCAAAAGAGTCGATTCTCATTATTCATGGCAGTTATATTCTAAAAAGTTGCCACAAACACTGAATTTGTGATGCCTGAGTCATTTCTCCTATACTTGGGGCTGGGTTCCCGCAAACCTTTGGTCACATTTTTATTAACTGATCCAGGTATAGCCTTGTTTTGTGTGTGTTTCTGTTGAAAAACGCATTGTTTAATATATATCTATGAACACATGAAAAGGTGCTTCACAATAAGATAAACATTAAACTATAAATACAGTGAGATACCTATTTTCAACTATCAGCTTGACAAAGATCCAAAGGTTTGTTGGCTAGACTGTGTGAAACAGGGACTCTCAAATAGTATTGGGAATATAGTGGTGGCAATATAAATTAGTATAATATATCTCTACTGAGAGCAATCTGGCAAAGATTCTATTAAAATTATAAATGTATCTTTAATCCAGCAGTTCTAATTCTAGAATTTAATTCTAGATTATTCTACATTCTAGTTCTATTTATAACCCTAACGATGTACTCATACCTTTGCAAAAAGAATTATGTAAAAGAATACTGACTGTAGTACTGCATAGCAAACAATTCAAAACAACCTAAACTTCCATGAGTTCAATTAAATTAGTACACATACATATATATATATATAAAAATATCCTGCAACTGTTTAAAACAAGACAGTTTTATACATATATCAGTATTTTCCAAGAAATGAGGGAAAAAAACTTACCTATTAAAGCACAATATATGAATTACCTATAAAAATGAAAAATTAAAAAGTTTAAAGGACTAATGATGATAGATATAGCTTATCAGCTTTATTTTAATTAAGTATTATTTACTGTCAATAAATGTACGACGCACAAAATTAGAAGTACAAAAAAGTATGCGATGAAGTCTCCCGCGTGCCGTTTCCTAGTCCCTCCAGAGGTAACTTGAGTATTGCCCTGACATGATCATCGGTGCACATACATACATGAATACGTATTTACACAAATGTCTGGTAGTACACTACACAGTTTTGCATCTTATCTTCATTTAAATATATCTTATCAGATTGCTATACATAACAAGGGACAATGTAGTTTAAAAAAATAAAATGAATAAACTGAATACAAATATCCCCTGCTTTTTGAAAGCTGGCATTATGCCACTTCACTTTTACAAAAGACCTACATTAGTACTGTATACTGTACCTATTCTAACCAAAAGAAATCCCAGGAGGATTTTCACTTCTATGAAAAAAGGCAAAACACGAAACTAGCATTCAGCATTTTGCAGTGAGCCATTATAGAGCCACTGCCAAGCTCCTTCCCTAGGAATTACACTCAGCATCAAGCCACCATAGCTTTGAACTGTGTCTGGGAACATCTGTTACTTATCCTGATTTCTTTTGTGCACCTTGTAGCAGATGTTTCCTAACATATCAGAAAAGTCTAACAGAGGTTATTTTTGGGCTCTGGATTTTTTTTCCATATTAATTAATGTAGGGTTTCCACTTCGGTCTTTGCCTGAATCCTAAATTATGCACATATAGAACGAGACTCCACAGAGTCTGGAAGAAGCAGTTGCTGCGGAGCTGAGAGGTGCGGAGAGTTCTGAGGTTGTAGAGGTCCACGTTAACCATGGCCAAGCTAAGTCATTTCACCTTTGTGAGTCTGCTTTCTCATCTGTAAAATGGGAATAATGATAGTATCTAACTTGATGATGATATAACGATTAAGTCAAATAACTATGCCTACCACATATAGTAATCACTCAAAAAATATAGCTACTATTACTTTTAAAAGGAAGAAAATTTTCACATGAGTTTCCAGTTTCCCTTATAATAAAAACCCGAAACACATACCTAAGGGTCTACTAAAACCAAATTCTATAAAGTAAGATTTTATTTATATTTAAGCAGAAGTCTACCTAAACACAAAGACTCATTAATGTTCAGGCACACTTCTTCACCTCTGTCTTCTACTTGGAAACCAAACACTGGTTTTATTTAAAGTAGAATATAGCTCAACCTTAAGTTATATGCCATTTTAAGAGATAAGAGGTCAATTTATGTGTTACAATAACTAATAATGACAGGACCAGAACTTCAAAGCTCAGATATTAGTTTCTCCAATACTTAGTATCTTCAAAAATGTTAGGTGTATTAAGTCAGGACAATAACTGAACTCACAAGTAATTTTAACTTAAAAGAACATCCCACGCAAAAGAATATATACTATATGATTCCATTATATGAAGTTCTAAAATTGGTGAAACTAGTTTTTACTCATTAAAGTCAGAATGGTGACTGCCAGAATGGATGTGTGGTGAATATAATGGGGTACAAAGGGACATCCTAGAGTGAGGGAATATTCTAAATCTTTAAGTGTAGTTATAATGGTATACTTCCTCAAAATTAATCAAAGCTCTTCACTTTAAATCTGTACATTTTATTATATACAAATTATACCTCATAAAAAGTATTGGGGAAAAAATGAGGGCTGTGTACAAATGTTCTTGACTCCTCTTGAAAGGCCATACTTCATACATAAAAATGACCAAATGCCAAGTACTCAGATAATGAAATACTGAATTTCTACCATTAATTGCTGCATATAAAACATGGACTTCTGCAAAAGCAGGAGTTGCTCTTGCTAAACTTTCACAATTTGATTTCTGAACTGAATTCAGTTTTTCCATTCACCAAGAGCTTCAAACAACACATGACTTAGGTTCATAACTGTTAAAAATCATTAACCCATTTCTGTTAATGGCAACCATGCAGAGATAAAGTAATCTCTGGCTGATCCCTGAATGAAGGCACTCTTCATGTAAGGCACTTCACGTTCTGTCTCTCTTCTGAATGTAGGTCCTGCTGGGGCTGAGGGACAGACCGCAGCACCATCCATCTAGTATTCCTCACAATTGCAAGAACAATTCTCACAGGGAAAGCTAGAAAACTAGCTCCCTTTTAACTTTATTATTAGGATTAGTAAGACTTACACTGTGGCTTTGCTGTTTTGCCTCTGTACTTAAGGAGGAAGCTGCTTCATTATTCATTATTTAAGTTAAGGTAAATAGTGCCTAAAAACCCTAGGTCAAACATAATTATAATTAACTCAACTTTCAAAACCATTCATCTAATGCAGGATCTGTTATAAATAAAGTCATCTTTAAAATCAGCAAAATATAGAACTGATGTCTAACCCTTCATGATGGGTGAAAAGATCTGATCTGAAAACTCTGAAATTTCTCTGCCATTTACCATTTTCTCTCTTCTTTGACATTCTCTCCACTCTATGCTTTAAGCCCATCCTACACTTCAAAAAAACTGTACAGACAAAAAAACTGTGTGTGTGTTGGGGGGGGTCATGGGGAAGACAGTGTAGCACAGATAAGACAAATAGTGACTATGTGGCATCTTATTACACTGATGGGCAGTGAGTTCAATGGGGCATGGGGGGGACTTGATATAGGTGAATGTTTAACCACATTGTTTTTCATGTGAAACCTTCATTAGAGTGTATATCAATGATACCTTAATAATAAAAAAACTGTACAAGTTACTGTAAACATGAACAAGAATATAATGCCTTTCCTTTAATGATAGAGAATAGACATATATATATATAAACAACAAGGAGAATGTAATGTGAAAAGCTAGGTAATTGAAATAAGCAGAAAGAGCAGAGAGCAGATTCAGAGAAGAGAAATTACATGGATTGAGGAGGTGGAGGATAAGGTGGCTGAGTGGCCTTATGAACAGGTTTATGACATTTCAGCTACCTGAGGCCTTGAAATACACTGTGTTCTGATGCTTCTGGCTTTGTACATTCTCTGCTTCGAAAACTTTAATCTGTTTCATCCCACATTTATCTATTTCCCTTTTTTAGACTTGGCTGAATGATCTAGCTGAAGAATGCCAACGGAATGAAAATGACTTTAACCAAAGAGTGAAACACAGGTAACTACCCCTTTAAATGTGATGATTTATCTAATTTAAAAAATACTCCTTCCAGACTACATCTTTGAAAATCAAACAGAAAATGTTTTTCAAAATTTGCTTTTCAAGGCAATGTGGAAACATCTACCAAGAATCATAATGTCTACCATCTTTTATCTAATAGACACAGTATATAAATTTAACCTAAGGCTATGACAGAACAGAATCAAATTACTATGTATAAGAAGGAATTGACTTCAACATTATCCAGAATGCCAAAAACTACTGAATTAAAGGAATAGTGGCATAACATATAGGCAAACAATCTGACAGTAAGAATCTGTAAAAACATTAAATGTGTGATATTAAGTGAGGGATACATACACCAACACAAAATGCTGTGATGGCATCCATATCAAAATACAGATGAATATGGACCAAAAGTATAAAATAATATGTGAAAAAGGAACACAATGATAGACACATAGCTGTTATTAGTTTAGTTTAAAAATACTGAGCATTTTTCTTATGTATTTTTCAAACATACAGAAAATAGAAAAAACAGTCCCATAAACATCCCTGGGTACAATGTAGTTTCAATAATAGCCATATATATAGTTCATGCATACACATAATGCATTTGGTTTAATAATTTAAAAATATATTACATACATACATTTATTTCACTTCTAAATACTTCAGTATGCAAATTTAAGAAGATATTCTCCTAAACTACAACACCCTCTCACAGTTCATAAAATTTGCAATTATCTATTATCATTTAAAATCCAGTCCACATTCAAATTTCCTTAACTCTCAAGTCTTTTATAGATGGCTTTTTAAGCCAGGATTTGATCAAGGATGTTAACATTACAAGTTAAATCTTGTAAATAGCTTTTAATTTGGAGTAGTTACGTACTCCATGTCACTTTTTCTTTCATGACACTGACTTTTTGAAAAGAGACCAATTATCTTCTGCAACATTCCACACTCTGGACCTAATCGTTTCTTTTTCGGTGTTATTTAACTTGTTGGTCTATTCCCATTTCTGGTAAATGGGAAAGGAGACCTTAAAGGCTTAATTAAACTCCAGTTAAACTCTTTTGACCAAAACACTTCATAGTTAATACAATGTATTTCATACTGTATCACAAACTGAAAAGTAAGCCTGACTGTCTGACTACAGTGATTCAAAGTTTCATCACTGATTGTAAGGATCTATTTACTATAAAGGTATATTTTTCTTTCCATACCATCAATGAACAAATATTTGCTGAGATGATAGTTTAATATAATGAGAATTCCAGAGAGGATATGTATCAACCTTTTATCAAATAGTTTTGGTATCAAGATGTCTTTAATATACTTTTACATTAATTTTTTAACTTTTCACATTTCAATTCTTAAACATGTTTTCTACAAAGTACAAAATTTATACAGAAGAATCACTTATATAATAATGGCAGACTTACTCCTTAATTGAAATGTGAGCACCTTCCTTCTTTCTGATTTTGTTTGAAACCCTGTAAGGAAAATAAAGGAATTTAAAAGAATAAGCATACAAATGTTATATAGAGTTGTGAATAAACATTTTTGCTCAAATAAAACATTTCACTAATTCTATTTAACAAAAAATATCATCAGAAAATAAGTTTACAGCCTTCAAATGTGCTTTAAAAGTGATTCCAAAGTAAACAATTATTAGGCTACAATAAAGAAATTTTCCTTTCACTAAATACAATGATGCTCCTAAGCTGACTTATACTTTATTTCCCTCAAATAAAATATACAATGTGTCTTATTTATTAAAATAAAATCATTAAAGATCAATAGTCTCTAAAGAAGAACATTTTAGAAGTTATTACTTATTGTTTTCCCTGGTCAGACCTAGCCCAAATGTCCTGTTCTTCAAATCTGGCCTCAATTCTTTGTCTTTTTCTACATATAAACCAGTGTTTCACTTTACCACTGACCTATACCTTAGATGACCTAAGATGTATTAAAAGTGATTTGTTACTAGTAAGTACCAAAGTTATAGCCTATTTTACGTTATTCCGATATCATTATTCTTAGTGATATGTTCTGCTTAGATTTCTAGATTTCTAGAGGTTAAGAGCTAGACCTGAATTGTATCCAGCTGCTCTCATGGGAAGAGGCTGGTAATGGAAAAGTTGTTAATCATGTTTCTGTGGAGCAATCGTTAAGAACTGCTAGGCTAAAGCAACTGCTAGGCTAAAACATACTTAGGCTGTTGGAAAACTTGACAATGAGTAGTGGCTTCTTTTCAATGGCAAACAATTCAGAGTCAAAAATGCAAGATATAGGAAACTGCTGTTTCTTTACACTTCTGAATATAAACATGTTTATATTTTAATTTATGCAAATATACAAATAATACTAAAAATAAAGATCATTTCTCTGGAATAAGTCAGTCATAGGTTAGACTTGAATTTGTGCCAGGTATTTTTCTGGACAAGGCTGTTTACCCAAGAACTGTTGCTTGAACTCATGAAAGAAACAGAACAGCTGTATTTTGTTGGTCAGGACCAGAGTTAAAAGTCCATTAAAACTCTACTAGGTTTTAATAACAGTACAATCAAGTATATGAAAAGGAATGTTTATAAATGTAACCAGCTCTAATTTTTCATCCATGTCATCCTTCAAATCAAAGATGTTCTTACACATTAGGTATACCCATATTCTTCAACTACTGCTACAGCTGTACGTTACAGAAAACAGTAAGGTTCGTTTAAGGGTGTGGTAAAACAGACATTTTCAAGTTGCACTGGTGGCAATACATATGGAAGTAAGAACTGTGGAAAGCCAGCCAGCAGTGTCAAAAGCTATTAAAATGTTTATACATTTTGATTCACTAACAGTTACTTACTGATATCATAAGGAAATAACCTATAAGAAGTATGTGTGTATAAATGGTTTACATATAAAAAGTTATCTCATTATCACAGGAAAAACTTGCTAATGTTCAACATCAGCAAACTATGAACTTATTCTGAACCAGACTTATTATGAACTAGGTACTATTCCAGATGCCAGAGAGCCAAGCGTCCCTGCTCTCAGGAGCTTACTCCTACTGGAGAGAGACAGAAAAACAGGTAAGGAAAATCATACCAGTAATGATACATGCCACACAGTGAATCTAAGTGGGTTGATATTATAGAGAATTAGGGAGAATCACTTCTATATTAAACAGGGAAGGTGAAATTTCAGTTGAGATCTGAATGACAAGAAGCCAAACAAGTGAGATCTGGGGTAAGAACTTTCCAGACTCAAGAACAGGGAGGGCAAAGGCCCTGAAGAAGATGTAAGCCTGGTATATGAAGAAGAAAAGAAGCCAGTATTGCAGGAATGGAAGAGCATGGAGTAAGATGTAAGTAAAGAAGCTGGCAAGATAGACATGATGTAATACTTTGCAAACCAGGATTATGGTTGTGGGTTTTAACTTAAGTGTGACTGGAAGCTATCAGAGAGTTTTTAAAGGGATAGACATGATCTTTGTTACATTTTTAAATACCACTTCTAACTGCTGTGTGGATAATGAATTTGGCAGCGTGGGATATGAGGTTTTATAGGTAAAAAGAATAGTTGGGATCTATTGTAGTGAGATAAGAGACAATGTCTTATTACCCAGAATATATGAAGAGCTATTAGAACCCATTAACAAAAAGACAAAGAGCCCAATATAGATATGAAAATATATAAATGGCCAACAAGCACATGAAAAGATGCTCAACATCTTTTAGTCATTACAGAAATGCAAATCAAAACCACAATAAGGTATTACTTCACACCCACTAGGATGGCTATAGTGAAACAGGGAGGCAATAATAAGTGTTGACAAGAATGTGGAGAAATATGTACCCTCACTCATTCTGATGGAAATGGTAAAATGGTGTAGCCACTTTAAAAAAGTTTGGCAGTTCCTCTAGAGTAAACTTGTGAGCCAGCAATTCTACTCCTAGACATGTACCCAAGAAAACTGAAAACATGTCCATACAAAATTTTATACACAAATGCTTGTAACAATTACTGTAACCAAAAAGAGGAAACAATTCAAAAAGCCATAAACAAAATGCATATACAATATTATTCAGCAATAAAAAAAATGGAGTACTGATAAATGTTACAACACAGAGAAACCTTAAGAAACATAGCCAGACACGAAAGGCCATATATGATTCTGTGTATATGAATTGTCCAGAACAGGTAAATCTGTAAAAAAAGAAAGTAGATAAATGGTTGCTTAAGTCTGGGAGGAGCAGGTATTGGAGAGTGACTGCTAATGGGTATGGGGTTTCATTATGGGTGACGAAAATGTTCTAGAATTAGTGATGGTGTTTGCACAACTTTGTGAATATAATTTAAAAACAACTGAATTGTGCACTTTTAAAGTTAATTATATCTCAATTAAAAGATGATAATATTTCGAATGGGGTAGAAGCAGTGGAGAGAAAACAAAGTGCATTGATTCAGGATCTGTATGGAAATAGTCAACAGGATCTTCTTATAAACTGGATGTTATAAAGTGAAGGGAAGTAAGAAATGAAGGCTAAATTTGGGGTTTGAGGCTTGAGAAATTGGTGCTCTTACTGCGCTAATGTTACTGCTTACTGAAGATGTAAAGGCTGTGGAAACAGGTGAGTGGGATGACACTACTAGTTTTGTTTTAGCTACATTTAGTTTGAGATGTACCTATAGACATCCAGTGTGGTGACAGAAAGCAGGCAGTTGGATAATTAAGTCTGAAATTCAGAGCTAGACATCTGAGAACCACCAGTACAAACATGCAATTCTAAGTCATGGAGTGGATGAGGTCACCTAGTGAGGATTTACTGCTGAGAGAAGGTGGATAGGGGCTGGGAATAAAGAATTCCACTTAGACACTAGGAAGAGAAGGAAAAGGAGCTAAGGAGTTTAGGAGTTAAAGGAGTCTAGAAGGAGCAGCCGACGAAGAGTATAAAACCAGTAGATTAATTGGTGTCACTGAAGGCAAGAGAAAAAATGTTTCAAATGTGTGCTCAAATGTATAAAAATAGGAAAGAGATAGGAAAGATAAAGCAGAGAAATGACCACTGATACAGCCATCTGCAGGTAAAATCTCTCCCCTTCTCAGAGCAGGGAAGACAGGAAGTTCACTTGATAGGTATGAAGAGACAACATGAGGTAAGGAAGTAAAGAGAACAACTAGAGAGAACTCTTTTAAGAAGTCTGGCTATGAAGGGGAGGAGAGAAATGATGTAATAGCTAGATAAGTTATAAAGAATATAGTTGAAGCAAATGGTCACTAAATTTAGCTAAATGGTAGAGCTACATAGGTCACCAACGCAGACTGATGAGTGAGACAAGCAAACTGCAGCTAAGTTTTCATATGTCTTCATATAAAGAAAGATGAACATAACACAATGTGCTTTGAGCACTCATACATACTTGAATGCAGAGAAAGAGATTTGAAAAGCTATATTCAGCAAACTAATATCTATAGAGAGAGGTAGGAACTGGGACTGGCTTTGGTCACCAATAGGATTTTTGTCTTACCTTTAATGTGCCTTTTTTATAAGATAAGGTATTCAAGTATCATATGTAGTCATTGTGATTAAGAAATACATATATTTTTAAAGGGTATAAGACGATGCAAATGGTATGATGACAACATAAAAAACAAACTAGATAACACTAAGAGATATGACAACAAAATATAACATGTGGGCCTAAATTCTGGATCCTCAGTTCTGTATTTAAAAAACACAATTTTTTTCGTTGTTGTGAAGGACATTTGTAAGACAACTGGCAAGATTTGAATAAGGCCAGTAGATTATATCATAGTATTACATCAATTTTAATTCCTGATTTGAAGACTTCATTTTAAAAATATTCAAGGCAACGCTATTTTTAATAAGCCAAAATTGGAAACAACCCAAATGTCCATCAATGGTTAAAACAAATAAATGGATTATGGTATATTCAGACAATGGAAAGCAATACAGCTACAACTACACACAATATATATTCATTGCACAAAGGTCTGAACAAAAATAAGCCAGCCACAAAGCAGTGTATATATGATAAAATCCATATAAGTTCAAAAAAGGCAAAACTAATCAATGACATTAGAAGTCAGGAAAATGGTTACCCTTGGGAAAGGAACTGATAACTAGAAGACACTAAGGAGGCTTAAGAATTGTGATAATGCTCTTTTTAATGGTGCTGATTACACAGATGTGATCATGTGAAATTCATCAAGCCATTCACATCTAAAATATGCATTTTCTGCATATATATTTTAATAAAAATCTTATATTAACAGCAACCAAACAAAACCAAAAACTGATGCATAATATGGACCTGAAATTAAGTTTATATATGGTACATCTGGGTGGAAGAGCTATGGATCAATTTCTCCCTCCTCTATCTCTCCCTGTCTAAAAAATTTAAAAATAAACATGTCAATACTTTATATATACATTATACATATTATTTTTTAATTATTTCACACTTGAAAAATACATGCAGAAAAATTTGAAGTACAGAAGAGGGAAGATCAGAAAGATGATTGATCTCAAATTAATTTGTTATTTTTCATTACCTTTTGGTCATTAAAAGGAGGATTCCTTCATATAGGACAAATATTCCATGGTTATACAACCACTGAAGGGTAATTTTTAAATAAGAATATTAATGGAGACATGTACAGATGAAACACTTTAAAAAACTACACCTTCAAGTCAGTTATTTTCTTCTATATTATTAACTGAAATTGAAGTGCCTACAATATGTATCTCATCATAATCTTCCATAACATAGTAATTTCCTTTTAAAAAGTTAAAAAATTTCCTGCCAAATTGTAATAGAATATGTCTGCAACAGACGGATTTATAAAATGACAAGTTTGAAGTTTAGGTTCCTAAGGCCCAGTTTGACATTTATCACCCTAGACCTTCCTTTATGTAAAATTTTTAAAAGAACCTAGTATTATTTTTCTTTTTTTTGGAAAGTTATTATCCTTTCTTTTTCCAGTTAATTTGAAATTAAATCCATTTTATTTGAAATTAACACAAAAGACTAGTGAGACTAGAAGAGAACTTAGAAAGCACCATTAAGTTAGAAACATATAAGAAGAATAATCTAATAGCATCAAAGACTTTTAAATGCCCTACAATTGTGCTTAGCAGGGACAATGTAATAGTAACTTAAGCCTTAAACAGACAGTTGCATATTTTCAACTTTAAGGTAGTTTTCAACCCTTAGATTTATATAACATAACAGATCATTTTTTTAGTTACAAAGTCATATAACCACAAAGTGATTGTTGGGAAAAGATGCTGAGTGATCACCTACCATATAGTAACCAGTATGATAGCCACTCATGTACCAAGAGATTAACATGCTTCCCAAGGCATCAGCATCATCAAGAGAATCTGGACATATGGGAGGTGGTGGGGGAATTATCTGGAAATGGAGAAAGACATACTTTAAAGTCAGTAAACAGACATATCAAGGCTGGAGATCCATTTTACAGAGAGAATGAAACATGTTAATTGTATCTTTTCCTACATTACATGTCATCTCCTATGTAATTTTTAAAAAAAATGGTATTTGGAGAAAGCCACTAGCAGTACTGAAGACCAATAAAATTAAACTGAACATGAATCAAAAGCTAACAGGTCACATAAAAAGTATAAACATTTTGCTTTGATTAGAACTATTTTTCTGATCCCATTATGAGGCTACAGGTAAAAGACCAAACATACTTTTACGGTTTTCCTCAAAAGACAACCACACACCATTTCAAGTATATAAAGGTTTTGGGTACATCTGTGCTGCTCCAACCCCACCACACACAATTTGCCAAAAGTGTCTTTCTAGCCTATTGATACCTGAAAGTCTACCATTAAGATATCCAGATAGTTGAGATGAAGCAAAGCATACTTGGAATGGCAAAACATTAGTCCTTATTCATACATAGTTAAATCCTTTCAAAGAGGACCTACTGCCCCATAGAAAGAGAAACAACTTCTGACAGGAAGGAAGCAGGCAATATAGGTCTCAGAGTTGGGACTCTTAAGAGGACTGGATCTGGGTAGCAGAAGGGCATTAAAAATGGAAAAACCGAGGTTTACTTCAAATTTCACCCATTAGAATCTGGCCCTAGGGATGGTCTAAAATGACATTTCCTAATCACCTGTTTTGCTAAACCCCAAACTATGTATGAAAGCAAATTTTAATCTGAATTCTTTTGCACTTACTGGTGGTCCAGAAGGAAATGGAGGCAGCCAGCATGATAGGAAGTGTGGTGGTGGTGGTGGTGGTGGTGGTGGACCACTGAATTTCAGACCTGGCTATAAAGAATATTTCAAAGCAAGATTAATTAACCAATTTCAATATCAAAGAAGGGAAAATGACTCAATGCCAAGAAGTCAAAATGATTGCCCAAAATATCTGTATTATACATATCAAAAAGATTAAGTAGAATTACATGTAACAAGTGCTAAGGTAAAAAGACTCATAAACCTAAATTTTTCTTATTTTCTTTCTGTACAGACATATGGGGAGTAAAACCAACGTAGAAAGATTTTTAATTACCTAGTAAGTCTAAGGCAGTTTATTTAGCAAGATGTTTTAATTATAAAAGACTATATCCACCATGATTTCATTAAGTAAATTGTATAATCTTTCTATGGACGTCTTTTGAGTTACAAATATTAACTTAGAGCTTATATTGTAAAAATGAGTGAACTTCTCACTTAACAAACCTATCAGCCTCTTGAGACCAATGAAGCATGTTTGTATGCATAAATTAAAGGTATGATCACTGTAGAAACACTAATATAACAGAAACCTAAATAAGCTCTTAGAAAAAAATCATAAGAGAAGTTTTAATAAGTCACACATAACTCTTTAAAATTTTTATTATTATTCCCTGAATATGATAATCTCCAGTAAAGAAACCACTGCTTTCTACAAAACAATTGCACAGAAACATGTCTACTTGTGTTTCATGATATAACTTAAAACTCCTTTTTGTTTCAATACTTATAACCAAAAGAATGATAATGGAAAACAATATTTACAATTTAACTTGACAAAACAATCCTCCCTAGGATTATTTATTATTAGGGTGTCAATATACACTCTTATGAAGTTTTCACAAGAAAAACAATGTGGTCACAACATTTACCCTTATTATCGAGTCCCCCTCATACTCCATTGCAGTCACTGTCACAGTAGTAAGATGCCACAGAGTCCCTATTTGCCTGCTCTGTGCTACAACGTCTTCCCCGTGACCTCGGCCACACAATGTGAACTAATCATAATACCCCTCAAACCCTTCTCCCTCCCCTCACACCATCCCCCAACCCTCCCCTTTGGTAACCACCAGTCTCTTCTTGGAGTCTGTGAGTTGGCTGCTATTTTGTTCCTTCAGTTATGGTTCTTTGTTATATTACACAAATGAGGGATATCATTTGGTATTTGTCTTTCTCTGCCTGATTTATTTCACTGAGCATAATACTCTGTAGCTCCATCCATGTTGCAAATGGTATGATTTGTTTCTTTTTGATGGCTGAATAGCATTCCATTGTGTATATATATGTACCACCTCTTCTTTATCCATTCATGTATGGATGGACACTTAGGCTGCTTACATATTTTGGCTATTGTAAATAGTGCCCCAATAAACATAGAGGGGCATATCTCTTTCTGAATCTGAGAACTTGTTTTCTTTGGGTAAATTCCTAGGAGTGGAACTCCTGAGTCAAATGTATTTCTATTTTTAGTTTTTTGAGGAACCTCCATACTGCTTTCCACAATGGTTGAACTAGCTTACATTCCCACCAGCAGTGTAAGAGGGTTCCCTTTCTCTGAATCCTCACCAGCATTTGTTGTTCCTGGTCTGTTCGATGTTGGCCATCCTCACTGGTGTACGGTGATATCACACTGTGGTTTTAATTTGCATCTCCCTGATAATTAGTGATGTGGAGCACCTTTACATATGCCTCTTGGCCATTTGAATTTCTTCTTTGGAGAAGTGTCTGTTCATATCCTCTGCCCATTTGTTAATTGAGTTATTTGCTTTTTGGTTATTGAGGTGTAAGAGTTCTTTATATATTTTGGATGTTAATGCTTTGTCAGATATGTCATTTACAGATATATTCTCCCATACTGTAGGATGCCTTTTTGTTCTGCTGATGAGTGTCCTTTGCTGTACAGAAGCTTTTTAGCTTGATGTAGTACTATTTGTTCATTTTTGCTTTTGTTTCCCTTGCCCAAGGAGATGCGTTCAGGAAAAAAGTTGCTCATGCTTATATTCAAGAGATTTTTGCCTATGTTTTCCTCTAAGAGTTTTATGGTTTCATGACTTACATTCAGATCTTTGATCCATTTTGAGTTTACTTTTGTGTATGGGGTTAGACAATAATTCATTCTCTTGCATGTAGCTGTCCAGTTTTACCAATACCAGTTGTTGAAGAGGCTGTTATTTCCCCATTGTATATCCATGGCTCCTTTATCGCATATTAATTGACCATATATACTTGGGTTTATATCTGGGCTCTCTAGTCTCTTTCATTGATCTATGGGTCTGTTCTTGTGCCAGCACCAAATTGTCTTGATTACTGTGGCTTTGTAGTAGAGCTCGAAGTTAGGGAGTGAAATCCCCTGACTTTATTCTTCCTTCTCAGGATTGCTTTGGCTACTTAGGGTTTTTTGTGGTTCCATACGAATTTTAGAACTACTTGCACTAGTTCGTTGAAGAATACTGTTGGTATTTTGATAGGAATTGCATTGAATCTGTAGATTGCTTTAGCAGGAAGGCCACTTAAACAATATTATTTCTTCCTATCCATGAGCACAGGATGTGTCTCCATTTATCTTGTTTAATTTCTCTCATGAGTGCCTTGTAGTTTTCAGGGTATAGATTGCTTTAGCAGGAAGGCCACTTAAACAATATTATTTCTTCCTATCCATGAGCACAGGATGTGTCTCCATTTATCTTGTTTAATTTCTCTCATGAGTGCCTTGTAGTTTTCAGGGTATAGATTGCTTTAGCAGGAAGGCCACTTAAACAATATTATTTCTTCCTATCCATGAGCACAGGATGTGTCTCCATTTATCTTGTTTAATTTCTCTCATGAGTGCCTTGTAGTTTTCAGGGTATAGGTCTTTCAGGTCCTTGGTTAGGTTTATTCCTAGGTATTTTATTCTTTTTGATGCAATTATGAATGAAATTGTTCTCCTGATTTCTTTTTGATAGTTCATTGTTAGTGTACAGGAATGCAACAAATTTCTGTGTATTAATTTTGTATTCTGCAACTTTAATGAATTCAGATATTAGATCTAGTAGTTTTGGAGTGGATTCTTTTTTTTTCTTTTTTCTTTCTTTTTCACAAAGCCTGGACTGCCAGGCTCATTTTTCTTTTTTGGTATCGTTAATCTACAACTGCATAAGGAACATTATGTTTACTAAGCTCCCCCCTTCACCAAGTTACCCCCACAGACCCCATTACAGTCGCTGTCCATCAACATAGTAAGATGCTGTAGAATCACTACGTCTTCTCTGTGTTGTACATGCTAATCGTACATGCTAATCATAATGCCCCCATTCTTTTTCCCCACCCTTATCTCTCCCTTCCCACCCAACCACCCCAGTCCCTTTCCCATTGGTAACTGTTAGTCCATTCTTGGGTTCTGTGATTCTGCTGCTTTTTTGTTCCTACACTTTTTCTTTGTTCTTATACTCCGCATATGAGTGAAATCATTTGGTACTTGTCTTTCTCTGCCTGGCTTATTTCACTGAGCATAATACCCTCTAGCTCCACCCATGTTGTTGCAAATGGTAGGATTTGTTTTCTTCTTATGGCTGAATAATATTCCATTGTGCATTGGACACTAGGTTGCTTCCATTTCTTGGCTACTGTAAATAGTGCTGCGATAAACATAGGGGTGCATCTGTCTTTTTCAAACTGGGCTGCTGCATTCTTAGGGTAAATCCCTAGAAATCCCAAAAAACCTAGGGTAAATGACCTAGAATTCCTGGGTCAAATGGTATTTCTATTTTGAGCTTTTTGAGGGACCTCCATACTGCTTTCCACAATGGATGAACTAATTTAAATTCCCACCAGCAGTGTAGGAGGGTTCCCCTTTCTCCACAACCTTGCCTACATTTGTTGTTTGTCTTTTGGATGGTGGTGAGCTTTACTGGTGTGAGGTGATATCTCATTGTGGTTTTAATTTGCATTTCTCTGATGACTAGCGATGTGGAGCATCTTTTCATGTGTCTGTTGGCCATCTGAATTTCTTCTTTAGAGAACTGTCTATTCAGCTCCTCTGCCCATTTTTTAATTGGCTTATTTGCTTTTTGTTTGTTGAGGTGTGTGAAGTCTTTATATATTTTGGATGTCAAGCCTTTATCGGATCTGTCATTTATGAATATATTCTCCCATACTGTAGGGTACCTTTTTGTTTTATTGGTGGTATCCTTTGCTGTACAGAAGTTTTTCAGCTAGATATAGTCCCACTTGTTCATTTTTGCTTTTGTTTCCCTTGCCCGGGGAGATACGTTCACGAAGAAGTCGCTCATGTTTATGTCCAAGAGATTTTTGCCTGTGTTTTTTTCTAAGAGTTTTATGTTTTATATTCAGGTCTTTGATCCATTTCAAATTTATTTTTGTGTATGGGGTTAGACAGAGATCCAGTTTCATTCTCTTATGTGTAGCTGTCCAGTTTTGCCAACAACAGGTGTTGAAGAGGCTGTCATTTCCCCATTGTATGTCCATGGCTCCTTTATTGTATATTAATTGACCATATATGTTTGGGTTAATGTCTGGAGACTCTATTCTGTTCCACTGGTCTGTGGCTCTGTTCTTGTGCCAGTATCAAATTGTCTTGATTACTGTGGCTTTGTAGTAGAGCTTGAAGTTGGGGAGCGAGATCTCTCCCACTTTATTCTTCCTTCTCAGGATTGCTTTGGCTATTCGGAGTCTTTGGTGGTTCCATATGAATTTTTGAACTATTTTTTCCAGTTCAATGAAGAATGCTGTTGGTAATTTTTTCTTCTTTTTTTATTTTATTTTTTAAAATTCATTTTGTTATCCTTAATCTACAATTACATGAAGAATATTATGTTTACTAGACTTCCCCCTTCACCAAGTCTCCCCCACAAACCCCAGTACAGTCACTGTCCATCAGCATAGTAAGATGCTGTAGAATTACTACTTGTCTTCACTGTGTTGCACATTCCTCCCTATGCCTCTCCCACATTATACATGCTAATTGTAAGGCCCCTTTCTTTATCCTGCCCTTATCCCTCCCTTCGCACCCATCCTCCCCAGTCCCTTCTTCCCCTTTGGTAACTGTTAGTCCATTCTTGGGTTCTGTGATTCTGCTGCTGTTTTGTTCCTTCAGTTTTTCTTTGTTCTTATACTCTGCATATGAGTGAAATCATTTGGAACTTGTCTTTCTCCGCCTGGCTTATTTCACTGAGCATAATACCCTCTAGCTCTATCCAAGTTGTTGCAAATGGTAGGATTTGTTTTCTTCTTATGGCTGAATAATATTCCATTGTGTATACCACCTCTTCTTTATCCATTCATCTACTGATAGACATTAGGTTGCTTCCATTTCTTGGCTATTGTAAACAGTGCTGCCATAAACATAGGGGTGCATATGTCTTTTTCGAACTGGGCTGCTGCATTCTTAGGGTAAATTCCTAGAAGTGGAATTCCTGGGTCAAATGGTATTTCTATTTTGAGCTTTCTGAGAAACCTCTATACTGCTTTCCACAATGGCTGAACTAATTTACATTCCCACCAGCAGTGTAGGAGGGTTCCCCTTTTATCCACAACCTCACCAACATTTGTTGTTGCTTGTCTTTTGGATGGTGGCGATCCTTACTGGTGTGAGGTGATATCTCATTGTGGTTTAAATTTGCATTTCTCTGATCATTAGCGATGTGGAGCATCTTTTCATGTGTCTGTTGGCCATCTGAATTTCTTCTTTGGAGAACTTTCTGTTCAGCTCCTCTGCCCATTTTTTAATTGGCTTATTTGCTTTTTGTTTGTTGAGGTCCATGAGCTCTTTATATATTTTGGATGTCAACTCTTTATCAGATCTGTCATTTATGAATATATTCTCTCATACTGTAGGGTACCTTTTTGGTCTACTGATGGTGTCCTTTGCTGTACAGAAGTTTTTCAGCTTGATATAGTCCCACTTGTTCATTTTTGCTTTTGTTTCCCTTGCCCGGGAAGATATATTCATGAAGAAGTTGTTCATGCTTGTGTGCAAGAGATTTTTGCCTATGTTTTTTCCTAAGAGTTTTATGGTTTCATGACTTCCATTCAGGTCTTTGATCCATTTCGAATTTACTTTTGTGTATGGAGTTAGACAGTGATCCAGTTTCATTCTCTTACATGTAGCTGTCCAGTTGCATGTTTATGATTTTTATTTTGAAATCTCTTTTAGGAAGATTGATAAGTTCAATTTCACTTCTCTGTTTTCTGGTGTTTGTGGGATTTTGGTTTGAACCAGGTTCCTTTTACATTTTATATTTTAATGTTGTGCCCTCTAGTGCCCAGAAGCTCTACTCTCTGTGGCTGCTCAGCCACCCTGGAGCAATGTCAGGGGTTGCAGCGGAGCAGTGCTGGCGCTTGGGGGGAGGTAAGAGGTGTTTCCTGCTTCCCAGCTGCTGTGTCTGTCTCCACTGCCAGAACAGGTGGGTGGAGTGCACAGGTGTAAGCCTCTGTGCTTTGTGTTTATAGCTGCCATAGGTGGGTCCACCCACTGCCTGGCCTGATACCACGGCAGGGGTTGCTTGTCTGTGAGGTGGTGCTGGCAAGCTGGGAGGAATGTGCAGCAGGCTGTGTATCATGGTGGCGGGCCTCAGAGCTGCCTAGACAGCCAGGAGTATGGAGCACCTGAAGATCCCTAAAGTTTCCAACCTGCTGGGCAGAGTATGCCCGGACAATTTTACCCACCTCTTCTTTCTCCTGAGCAGCAAGCTCTGTGCAATCCTTGCCCCTTTAGCAGCCCTGTCACTGTTAGGAAGTCTCTCTGCCCTCCTTTCTTTTGTTCCAGAGCAGCTGGATGTGGGTCCGTTTTCCACAAGTGGCTGGATCTCAGTCTCTCAAAAATATTTCACCTGTCTTAGCTTTCCAACCCCACTATTCTCCAGAGCACCATGCAATGTAGGTTTGTGCTCCCAGAGTGTTCAGCAGTCCTAGGCTTCCACCCCCTCCCCACTCCATTTCTCTTTCTCCTGTTGGTGAGCTGGGGTGGGGGAACGGCTTGGGTTCCACTGGAATACCACTTTGATATGTTACCCTGTTTCGTGAGGTCTGCTCTTTTCTTCAGTTGTTTGCAGTCCAGTGCAGCCTTCTTTCCCATTGCTCTTTTAGGTTTAGTTTAACTATATTTTAATATTATATGTGGTTTTGGGAGGAGGCTTCTGCCTCAACTCTCCCGCCACCATCTTTAATCTCCCCCTCCTTAGGATTTTATCTGTATTAGATGTAAATACTGTGTTCTCTTCAATTTTTATATTTTTATATTTATAAGATATACAAGTGACAAGGGTAACTATAGTGCAACACCCAGCTGATGATAAAATATTATCATGCTAAGTTAAGTTCACTACATTAGCCTAATACCTAATACTCCACACAAGTAGTTGAGAAAGTATTTCATTATAAACAATTCCGCACTACTACATTAGTTCCTTTACAGAGAATTCTTAAATGCGTATTTATAACATCTACAGAAAGCTACAGAAGTTTCATGGGGAAAGATAACAATTCATACAGTTCCATTATTATTATTTTCCCGGAAACCTTCTCTGGGCAGAAATATACCTTTCCTGGTCCCAATCCTGATCCCTGCATGTGGAGTGGTGGAGGGAGAAAAGAATTCCATGGAGCAGCTTTTGAGCTGATGTTATTTGGTTTATTGCCAGGAGACCTGGAGGAGTTCTCACTTTCATCTGTTGAAATTTGACTTTCATTTTCATTCTTTAGAAAGAAAAAAATATTAATTTTTGTTATAAAGGTCTCATTAAGAAAAGTTTAATGCCTCAGTGGGTCAAACTGACTAGTCATACTGCTTAGTTTTCTCATCTGGTTTCTGTTTCCAAGAATTTTGTTACGATTGCCTTTTTGTATGCTTACCTCCTGAGCACTCTGTTCTACACTGTTAGTTGCTTCAGAGGATGGGGAAAGTAGATCAGACATGTTTTGCTCTTCTGTATTTCCATATCCAGTGTAAATCACAGTACAGGTTTCTCTCTTAAAATCAACTGAAGCAATTGTAGCTGGGTAAATGCAGCCATCTTCTGACCAAATGGCAGAACATCTGTCACCAACTTTCCACTATAAAAGAAACCAAAGCTACATACACATACATACTTCTTTTAAAGAGGTTAAATTATAATCTTGTTTAGGTGAGGTGGGGTGGTGTGCGGAGGGTAGAGCTTCCAGTTAACTGATCTCGAAGGCAGAATGGTAAAATGAAAAAGCCTTGAGGTCAAAAACACATTGTCTGAACTCCAACATAAATATAATTTACCATTTATATAATCATGGACAAGCTTCTTATTTCTTTAAATCTTATTTTCCTCATTAGTTAAGTGAATATAATATAATCTACCTCACATATTTGTTGTGAATAATAGAAAGAAGGTAAGCATATAAAGTGACCAACACTCTGGCCTGGCACACAGAAAGTGTTTATCAAATGTTAGTTCTCTTACTCCTTGGTACTGATGAAACTAAAGTTACTGAGACACCAAAATATTTATCTTTCAGGTGTACTGTTTTAAATAACAAAAAATGACTCTACCCAGAATTTGTGGTTCCCGGCTATTAGTAATTTTAGGGTTTTTTAAGGAAAAAAAGAACACCATCTCTCACCTTAAGAAGTGGAACACTGCCAATTCAGTTTAAAGCCCTCAGGTATTCTTCCCAAATAGAACTGCCTTCTCTGCCCACCAACATAAAGTAAACACTGTCCTGAATTTAGTATTTATCAGTCCCACCTATGCTTTTATTCCTTATACTTTTATTGATATGCATGTTCCTGAACACGCATAAATTTAATAGTTGTTTTAGAAATTTTACAGTTAGTTACATGTCAATGAAGAACACTGTATCAGTAATTTGTTTTATACTATTTAATATGGACAGTAACAAGAAATTCTTTGAAGTTAAATCTAAATGTTTTAAAATAACCTGCTTCAAGGGAGTTGTGGTATTCTTTTTTTGGTTTTTATTCTTCTTAGCAGGCTTTCTTTTCGGCGTGCCTTTTGGTTTATCTGAAGTTTCAGAAATGTCACCATTCTTTAGAGCATGCTATGAAAATACGAATAGAAACATACATGTTACAGAGTGAAACAAAAAAAATCACAATATAACTCAGTCACTATAAGCTGGTCTCAAGGCCTCACCACCTCAGAGAGCCTCTACTTCCTCTTTTCACCATCCTAGACGCTATAGAAACTGCTCTTGAAGGCATCATATATCTGATTGTCAGCTCTAAAGACCCTTTGTAAGAAATCTCACTTTCAACCTTTCTGTAACATTAGACTCTATTGATTCTTCTTCCTAATATCTATGACATTGTAGGTGGTACAGCAATATAGGGCCCCAGTGCTTTTATTACTTCTCTGGTCAAGCCTTGGGCATTCACAACAAGAATTGGCCATCCTTTCTTACCTGCTTATGATTGATTAAAACCTCTCTGCAAAGATTTTCAAAGCTATTATTCATCTCTGAATTTTTTCCTTAGTTCAATCCAATTTCCAAATACCAATTTCATTATCTTCACATTTACCTCAAACTCAACACAACTAAAAATAAATGATCTTTTCCTCTATTAAGACTACTTCCCCTGCTATCACCAACCCCATTGTACATCAAACCCCATTTTAATCTGCATTGTACAGAATTCTCTTGATAACACTGCACTACTACACTTCTAAGTGTATATTGGAAAAGCATGTTACTGAAAAATTTAGAACCCAGCTTCAAAGATGACATACAGGTCTGATCTTTACCTCATGCTATAGGAGTGATCCCAGGAAGGAAGTGGACTCTGTGCTTGTTGGTCTGGATGAGGGTATGATCTATGCTGGGACTGACAGCCCACACATGGTACTCTGTAAGACTATACCTCAGCAAGTGGGGAGAGGGATGATGATGGGCAAATGTATAAATGTCTTGTTTGGGCCACAAACAGATATCCCCTAAAAGAACTGTATATTCCTACCATCAAGAACATGTGATTTGATACTCAACTGACAGGATTTGAGGAAGATTAAATTAACATATGTGGAACACTGAGAACAGTACCTAGAACACTGTAAAGACCACAGGTATTAATTACAGCACTATTGCTATTCAGCATCACCGTTTTCAATCATCATTTCAATAAAGACTTGTTGAATGTTTAAAAATTATAGTAATTCAATTGCTGGGGAGGTGGAGCCAAGATGGCAGCATGAGTAGGGCAGCAGAAATCTCCTCCCAAAACCATATATATTTTTAAAAATACAACAAATACAACTATGCCTAAAAGAGAGACCAGAGGATACAGTACAACAGCCAGGCTACATCTACATCTGCGAGAACTCAGCATCTTACGAAGGGGGTAAGATACAAGCCATGACCCAGCAGGACCCGAGCACTCCCCCAACCCCAGCTCACCAGCGGGAGGAAAGGAGTCGAAGCAGGGAGGGAGCGGAAGTGCAGGACTGCTAAATAACCAGCCCTAGTAATCCACACCGGGAGCGCAGACACACATTGCATGGTGTGCTGGATATTAGGGAAATGGAAAAGTAAAATCTGTGAGCAGGTACCGACTCCCCTGGGACAAAAGAAAAGCAAGTGCTTTTTGAAAGCCTTAAAGGGACAGGGGCTTCACAGCTGGACAGAATCATCCCAGCACACTCAGCCCAGCAGGCTGGGAAATCTGAGGAGCTTCGGGCGCCCCAGCCCTCTGGGAGGCAGCACGGCTTTGAAGCCCCCCACGGTGATAAACAGCCTGACGTTCATTCCCCCTCTGGTGTGGCCTTGCCACAGCGGCAGAGCAGCCTGAGAGCAGCCATGCCCACAGCAGCCACCCAGAGTCTCCTCCCAGCGCGAAGCTGCCCGGGCCAGACCCAGGGGCCACTGCCAGTGCACGGCTGCCCTACACAGGAAGAGGAGGCTGGGGCAGTGTGCGAAAGGGGCACCGTTCTCGCAGAAGAGCACACCTGGCACTCCTGCCTCTCCCTGCAGGGCTCTGGGCTACCCCGATGGCTGCTCCCAGTGTGCGGATAACTGACACAGGCAGTGGAGATGGGCAGGACGACCAGCAAGCAGGAAGGGGCTTTGTTCTCCCAGCTGATGCATGCACCAACTGCCTATGACTACCTCTATTGCCATGAAAAGGCAGAAGAATTTGGTCCAGTCCAGAATTACCCAGACATCCCTCGAGAGAGTGCCTGGGGAAACAGATATAACCACTCTTCCTGAAAAAGAATTCAAAATAAAGGTCATAACCATGCTAATGGACCTGCAGAGAAATATGCAAGAGCTAAAGGATCAAGTTAGGAGGGAGAATACAGAAATAAAACAATCTCTGGAAGGACTTAAGAGCAGACTGGATGAGGTGCAAGAGACCATTAATGGAATACAAATCAGAGAACAGGAATACAGAGAAGCTGATGCAGGGAGAGATAAAAGGATCTCCAGGAATGAAAGAATATTAAGAGAACTGTGTGACCAATCCAAACGGAACAATATTTGTATTATAGGGGTACTAGAAGAAGAAGAGAGAGAAAAAGGGATAGAAAGTGTCTTTGAAGAAATAATTGCTGAAAACTTCCCTAAACTAGGGGAGGAAATAGCCTCTCAGACCATGGAAGCAAACAGAACTCCCAACACAAGGGACCCAAGTAGGACAACACCAAGGCACATACTAATTAAAATGGCAAAGATCAAGGACAGAGTATTAAAGGCAGCCAGAGAAAGAAAAAAGGTCACCTACAAAGGAAAACCCATCAGGCTATCATCAGACTTCTCAACAGAAAAATTACAGACCAGAAGAGAATGGCATGATATATTTAATGCAATGAAACAGAAGGGCCTTGAACCAAGAATACTGTTTCCAGCATGATTATCATTTAAATATGAAGGAGGGATTAAACAATTCCCAGACAAGCAAAAGTTGAGGGAATTTGCCTCCCACAAACCACCTCTACAGGGTATTTTAGAAGGACTGCTCTAGATGGGAGCACTCCTAAGGCTAAACAGATGCCACCAGAGAAAATAAAATCACACCAAAGAAAGTAGATCAACCAAATACTAACTAATGACAAAAAATAAAATCAACTATTCACAAAAGCAAAGGAAACACAAAAGAGTACAGAATAAAACACCTAACATATAAAGAATGGAGGAGGAGGAATAAGAAGGGAGAGAAATAAAGAATCATCAGACTGTGTTTATAATAGCTTAATAAACCAGTTAAGTTAGACGGTTAGATAGTAAAAGAAAAATTATAATAATTCAGACTGTCATTCCACTAATCTAAATTAGAGAACTTGTACAATTTGATACAATGTAAACATATTAAAAGTAATAAAGGTTTAAAATTCTACTTAAATTATTTCTGCTAAGGGGATTACATATAGACAGGCCACCAACTTCTAAATGAAGATATCATCTAACTCATATTATATATTAACCTTCAAAATCAGAACTGCATAATATGTATTTCAACACTTTACTGTAAGTATACTTATCAATTATTTTTTCAAATGAGTAACATGAAGAAATAAGGAGTAAATATTCCATACCTTAAATGAAGCCACAGCTTTATCATAAGCTTTTATCAATGCTGTATCATCCCATATGTCAGAATCATCACTCTGGGAGGGGCAAAGAATAAAAACAGTTCATGTTTGGATGGGTTTCATCAAAAGTGTATGTTGGATAGTACCATGAACCATCCTACTCCATGATAAGACATAACCAAATTACACCAAAAATGGGTATTTTAAATCCTAAATAAACCACAGGAAACCTATCTGCTTATAGATTATGTGATATTACCCCCAAAGTTAGACATATGTAAATCTCACATGTCTATCCCATTTGCCTCATGGCAAGAGGTATGCCATGAAATGAATGCTCCACAATTTAATTCCCAACCACTGACCATAAGGGGTTCAAGGATAACCCATGTTTCAATCTTTCCTAAGAGCAGCTAAAGGGTTTAGTTTGGCAAAGTGGGAAAACTTCTCACCATTAACTTTACTTTACCCAGACTATGGTAATGCTATTCTGACCACACACTCTGAGGTCCAAAGAACAGTTTTTCCTCTTACAATGTGTCTAGATTTCAAAGAAGAACTTTCAAAATGTTTCAGGATACAAGTTGTTAATACTGACTAATCAATTTTCTTCTTTTTGGATAAATATTTTGGTTTTTATTTTAATGCATATGGTAATTAAAATTATAGGTTTTTTTTCTTATACATGGAAATTGTATACATTCTCCAGCTTGATGAAAAAAGAACTTTTTAAACATCCCATGCTCACTTACGAACCTTGGAATGATAGAAAAGGTAGTACCTATATAAAAAATTTTATATTAAAACTGTAACTATGCTTTTCAGAAGTTACAGTGATTTAAATTTTTTCAATATTCAAATACAAAATAGCATATTTTAATTTACTACAGCATAATTCAAGTATTCTCTTAAATTTTATATTCAGCCAACTAGTACATGATATTAAGTAACTTTTCATAGTAACTTTCCTTTTAAAGATGACTGTTACATAAAATAATGTGTCTATATTACTCTAAATTGCTTAGAATAATTTGAAAGAATGAATGACAGTAGACAGACCTTTATGATTAAATCATCAACACATAAAAGGTTGCTCACATCAGCAATAAGGCATTTGCAGATAACTCCCCACAAGTATTTGAATTCATGTAAACAAAGACCATGTATATTCCTTAAGGGAGAAAATAATTAACCATAAATAAAATATATTCATATGGTTGTGATTCTAAGTCATATACTATTTGAATACCATACAAAACCAAAAGAGGCATAGTCTATGATTTTAATAACTGAAAGATGTTACTTATTTGTGAAATATAAGGTTGATAACTTTTCTAAGCTAATAACAAAACAAATATTTTTCTAAGCTAGTAACAAAACAAATACACATCCACTCTTTTCTAGAAATATACATTCTTATAGTATTGCAGCATAGGAATTTTGTCCTAGCACTAACCATAACATTCAATCAGTAGGTTTAAAATATTTTTCCACATTGAGCCTTGAATCTTCTACCTTGTTATCTGCCCAACAACTTTCAAGAGTTTTATTCTCTTGCTTCAGTTGTTCATTTTCATCTTCTATGTCATCTAGGTCTCTATTTAACAAACCAATTTCTTGTTTGATTTTTCCAATCATTTCCTTTTTATCTTACATTAGTCTCACAAGTTGTAAATTTTCTTGCTTTTCTCTTACTAATTCTTTTTCAAGATCTTCAATTTTCTTTTCCAATGTGCTACTTGAGACCAAACTACCTGAAGCACTTACATCCCTGTTGAATCTTCTGAACTCACTTCTCCCTGTTCAGGGCTATCTACTTGAGATATCTTCTTCAGAGGTAGTGGTTGTGCTGTGCTGATAAAAGACTATTATCCAAAATATACAAAGAATTCTTAACAGTAAGAAGGATCACAAACAATACCTAGATTTCTGACTTGAGCAAGAGTGGATTTTGATGCCAACTACTGAAAGTCACCAGGTTTCACACATTTTCTTTTGAACACACTGACTTTTAGATGCTTCAGAGAAATCTTTCTCTATCTGCCTGAATCTGTTCTAGATGGCTCTTATAATGAGGAACTGCCTGAATATAATAAGCTTATGGCTTCATTCCGCATCGTGTTCTGTTGTGTAATTGCATCTTCTCGTTTCTGTTCTTTCTGCCCTGCTTCATCATCTTCATACTCATCTAAGCACTTAGCCGCAGGGATGTTGAGCACACCAGTGGAACACCACTTCTCCTGCAGCTTCCACTCCTCGGTCTGCCCCTTGCCTTTCCTGGTGCTGGACCCTGTGCTCTTACCCTTCTCCGCCATGCTGACCCGCTCCTCCTCGTTGCCCGTGGCCAGCTGCAGCCCAGAGGCAGGGGCGGGGGCGGCTCAGCACTGTGGGGCCCATTGAGCAGTTCATGCCCCCCGAGCCGGGAGGTTGTTGAGTTTGCTGGCTGCAGTAGCAGCAGTGCCCACGGTCCCTGAAGGGGGCTTCCCACGGTGTCCCTAGGTGGGGCAGGCCCGGTGGGCTCTGCTTAACACACATCTTCTTGCTCTTCACCTTCCACTCCTCCAGGAAGTCTGTGGTGCTGCCGGCTCGGTAGCTGCCAGTCACCATATTACCCAGGGGCCAGCTGCGCTCTCAACTCAGGCCGCCTATATGACTCTGGCTTCCGCTGCCGCCTCCCCGCACAGCCTGAAGGATGTGAGGGTGCAACCCCAGGGTGCTGGGCAGCTGTGGTGTCATGCTGCTGGCGGGTCTCTGCCCCTCTCCAGGGACACAGTGCCTAATTTTCATTTCAAATAGGAATGATATTAAGTAATCTGGAAAAGGCCTAAAATCATTGTCATTTAATTTTGATTAAATAAAAAATAACTTCTTTGTGCACCCACTCTATACTAAGCACTCTTCAATGAGAGGTATAAGAAATCACGTTACCTGGTCTGGAGAGATGATTGAATCAGATATTTAAGACATATAGTCACACCAAAGAATATAAAACAAATATGATCAACATTAAAATGTGAAGTATGAGCAATAAAAAGAAAGAGATGGATTTCTGTAGCTCAAGATGGCAAAGTAGCAAGATCCTTCATTCACCTTCCCCCACTGATACACCAAATCTATAGCTACCTATGGAACATTTTCCTCTGGGGAAAAACCTAAAACCTAGTTGAGCAACTTCTACACATGAGGCAAAAGAAGTAGGTATAAGACAACTGCACCATACATGCCACCATGGCATGTCAGAAGGGTCAAAGAAGAAATAAAAAAAAGAAATTAAATACCTTGAGACAAATGCAAATGGAAATACAACATAACAAAACAGGACACAGCAAAAGCAGTTCTAAGCAGAAAGTTCACAGGAAAAAATGCCCACATCACTACACAAGTAAAATCTCAATTAAACAACCTAAAGTTATACACCTCAAGGAACTAGAAAATGAAGAACAAATGAAACCCAAAGTTAGCAGAAAGAAGGAAGTAACAAAGATCAAAGCAGGAATAAATGCAATTAAAACTAAAAAGACAATAAAAAAGATGAATGAAACCAAGAACTAGTTCTTTAAAATGATAAAACTGAAAAACCTTTAGATACACTCACCAAGAAAAGTCAATAAATATAATCAGAAATGAAAGCAGAGACAGTATAACCAATACCAGAAATACAAAGAATCAGATTATGAATGATATGCCAGTGAATTTGACAACCCAGAAGAAATGGATACATTCCTATAAACACACAACCTACCAAGACTGAATCACACACAAAAAATATGAACAGACCAATTACTAATAATGAGATTGAATTAATAATAAAAAACCTCCCAACAAAAATCCAGGATCAGATGACTTCACGGGTGAGTTCTGCTAAACATTCAGAGAGTTAGTACCAGTCTTTCTCTAACTCTTCCAACAAATGGAAGAGGAGGGGACATTTCAAAATTCATTTCATGAGGCTAGTATTACCCTGATACCAAAACCAAACAAGGATACCACAAGAGAAGAAAATTATAGGCCAATATCCCGTAAGAACATAGATGCAAAAAACTTCAACAAAATATTGGCAAACCAAATTCCACAATATATTAAAAGGATCACACATCATGATCAAGTGAGGTTTATACCAGGAATGCAAGAATGGTTCAACATCTGCAATTCAATGTAATACACCACATAAATAAAATTGATGAAAACCAGATGATCATCTCAACAGATGCAGAAAAGGCATTTGACAAAATTCAACATCAACTTATAACTAAAAACTCTCAAGAAAGTAGGTATACAAGGAACATACATCAATGTAATAAAGGTCATATATGAGAAACTCACAGCTAACAACATAGTCAATGGTGAAAAGCTAGAAGCTTTTCATCTAAGATCAGGAACAAGGATGCCCACTCTTGTCACTTTTATTCAGTATTGGAAATCCTAGCCAGGAGCAAGTAGGAAAAAGAAATAAAAGGCACTGAATTTGGAAAGGAAGAGATAAAACTGACGTGCAGATAATATGATATTATACATAGAAAAACCTAAAGATTCTACCAAAAAACTGTTAGAGAATAAAGTAAGTAAAGTTGCAGGACAGAAATCAATATACAAAAATCTATTGCATTTGTATACACTATAAGCTATCAGAAAGAGAAATTAAGAAAATAATCTCATTTACAACTGCATCAAAAAGAATGAAATACCTAGGAATAAATTTAACCAAGGAGGTGAAAAGTCTGTATACTGGAAACTGTAAGACATTAACAAAAGTAATTGAAGAAAACACAAATAAAAGATATTCTGTGCTAATAGATTGGAAGAATCAATACTGTTAAAAAGGCCATACTACCCAAAACGATCTTCAGATTCAATGTAATCTTTATCAAAATCCCCAAATTTACATGTAAACAACCATACTCTCTGATTTCAAACTGTATTAGAAAGCTATAGTAATCAAAATGGTATGGTATTAGCATAAAAACAGACACAGATCAATGGAATAGAATAATGAGCCCAGAAATAACCCCACTCTTCTATGGTCAATTAATTTATGACAAGGTAGCCAAACATATACAATGGGTAAAGGATAGTCTCTTCAATAAATGGTACTGGGAAAACTGAATAGCAGCATACAAAAGAATGAAACTAGACCACTATCTTATATCATACACAAAAATTAACTCAAGATGGATTAGAGAATTGAATCTAAGGCCTGAAATCATAAAACTCTCAGAAGAAAACAGGTGGTAAGCTCTTCTTGACATCTGTCTTGATGATAAATTTTTAGGATTTGAGATCAAGAGAAAAAGCAACACAAGCAAAAGTAAATAAACAGAACTACATAATACTAAAAATGCCTCTGCATAGTAAAAGAAACCATTAACAAAATGAAAAGGCAACCTACTGAATTAGAAAAAAATTTTGCAACTAATTTATCTGATAAGAAGCTAATATTAGAAATGCATAAAGAACTCATACAACTCACTAGCAAAAAAACCAAAAATTCAAAATGGGCAGAAGATCTGAACAGGTATTTTTCTCAAGACATACAAATGGCCAACAGCTACATGAAAAGGTGCTCAACATCACTAAACACCAGGGAAATGCCAATCAAAACAACGATAACAACGATATCACCTCACACCTGTTTGAATGGCTATTATCTAAAAGACAAGAAACAATGAGTGTTGGCAAGGATGTAGAGAAAGGGGGCCCCTTGTGCAGCACTGATGGTGGGAATGTAAACAGGCACAGCCACTATGTGAAACAGTATTAAGATTCCTGAAAATTTAGAAACTACCAATTTTACTTCTGGGTATTTACCCAAAGAATTGGAAAACATTAACTTGAAAGGATATATGCACCCCCATGTTCTCTGAAGTACTATTTACAATAGCCAAGATATGGAAGGAATCTAAGTATCCATCCACGGATGAATGCATAAAGAAAATGTGGTACATATAATGGAATGTTACTCAGCCATAAAAAAGAAAGTAATATTGTCACCTGCAGCCTGTACTGACCTTGAACGCATTATGCTGAATGAAGTATTGAGACAAGAAGGCAAACACCACACGCTCGTACTTACATGTGGAACTACAGCCGCAAAAACACAGCTAAAACCCACTGAGCTCACAGGGAACAGGCCATGGCTGCCAGAGGTGAGGGGGTAAAGGCACCAATTTCCAGTTATAAAAATAAACAGCTCATGGGAATCAACACGCAACATGGTGGCTATAGTTAATAATAATAAACTGCATATTTGAAAGTTGCAGATAGAGTAAATCTTAAAAGTTCTCATCACAAGAAAAAAATTTTATAATTATACATGACAATATTTTAACTAGATTTATTGTGATCATTTTGTAAAATGTACAAATATTGAATCTTTATGTTGTACACTGGGAATTAATGTTATATGTCAATTATAACTCAAAGAAAAAAGAAATAAATGCATGCTCGATGATCATGGAGGAAGCAGGCCTGTGAAATAAAAACCAGGAATATGTGGACAGGTAAAGAAGAAAACAGCATTCCAGGGAAGACCATGGACTAAAAAAAGCATGAAAATAAAACCAAACACACTAAGTGTATGGTTTCACTTGTCTGAAGTATCTAAAATAGTCACATTCCCAGAAACAGAAAGTCCCTGGTGGTTGCCCAGGGACTGGGGAGAGGGAGCAATGAGGGGTTGTTTAATGGGCAGAGCTTCAGTTTTGCAACATGAAAATGATATTTGCTATTAAACTCATTTAGTCATACAACTAATTTTGGTCATTTTCCTGTTAATCTCCATTTTATATATAGAGAAATAGGTTCCAATGTAAAACTTTTAATCTCACAATATGACAAGAAGTACTTAAAATAATTAAGTCATTTTACAGATTGATAATTTATTTGTTCAAGATGTGAAATAAAATGAAATCTTATCTCCCATAGTGGTCCCACAGGCAAGGTGAACTATACAAGCTGTAGAGGCTCTATGTCAGCCAGGATAACTCGTATGTCATCCTGTAAAGAGGCCAGGCAGCCATTCTCACCTGTGTCAGCAAGAGTGCCAAAGTTCCTTGTCCATGACCAGGAAGTGAAACAGCCTGGAATCCTCATAAAAGATAAAACTGGATGTGGGTCTGGTTCTCACATTCTTTGTGGAATTCTTTAGGAGAATGGTTAACCATCTTAATTCTTGCCTCCTCACACACTGATAGCATTGGAATGTCCAGAGTATGTTCTTTAAGACACTAACCAGGTATATCCTTGACACATTGCTTGATATACTGATTAATATAACCTCTTTCTTACACCTATCCTCTGTTGTAAAAAGCTATTTTCAGGGCTTTTTAGGCTCTAACTAGAGCTTCCGAGCTCTAATTATAACTTTCTGACTGTACTCCTAGGTCATTCATGGTCTCAGTTAGACTCCGGATAACTCTTTCTTAAGCCAATAGCTCTGTTGATTTCAGTCAACAAAGGTGACACAGCTACCTGGAAAGGGAGAAGTTCCTTAGAGATCTGGTGAAAGGTAAGAAAACAAACAGTAGAAATTAAAGAGTCCTGAAAAAAAAAAATCACAGAATCAGAAGACCCCTCAATTCTCCTGCAACTGCAAAACATAGTACTGGTAAAGAAAAGAGCACTCTATGTATCAGTAAAAGAGGGCACTCTTCTAAGTAAGATACACAGGAACCCAAACTCCTCACATCTCAATTGTTATTGTCAGACTAGGAAAACAGACATTTCAAAATGAACAGAAAAGGACATCTATACAAAGCTATTATAAGCAGCAGCATTTTAGCTTAAAAACTTCTCAAATGACAATTGCAACAGATGAAAACACAACACCCAATTTAAATTAAATATTCCTAAACTAGCATTCACAATATGGAAAAAAAAACCTTGAATCAATAAATTTTAAAATCCAGATGAGAAACCAGGGCAAAGGGAGAAGAAGACTGGAATCAAGAGTTAAACAAAATCAAGAAAGAAATGGAAGAAAAAGTACTGACTATAACATACCCAAGGAAGAATATATTTAACTGAAAATCTAAGGGGTACCAAGGAAAAGACATGAAAAAAACAAAGGTAATTACAGGAAAAAGTATGAACCAATGATTTTTATATACACCTCATCTGTCCTTCAAGTAGCAAGACTGAGTTTAAAATGTGGAAGAATTTTTTACTCACTAGCCTTTCCAGTGGAATCTACTGAAGAAAAGCTTAGTACAACCAAGATATGACCAGGGAAAACTTGGGTTAAAAAAAACGAAATCAAATATATTTATATTGATTTATATTTATATTTTACATCAAATATATTTAATTGCATATCTAATATAAAGTATTTAATTAACAAGCTCATTCTAAACTCCTATGGAAATATAAAGGACCTAGAATAGCCACAACGATTTTTGAAAAAGCAAAGCAGAGCTGGAAGATTTATATTATCTGACTTAAAGATGTACTCTAAAGCTACAGAAATCAAGAAAGTGTGGTATTAGCATCAAGGTAGAGAAACAGATCAATGCAATAGGATCAATACTCGAAAGCCATCCTATACACGTATGACTTATTTCAAACAAAAGTACATAAAATTTAGTAGAGAAAGCGTAGTACAGAATATTCTTTAAAACTCATGACCACAAATCTCAAGCAGGCCTTTAATGTTGCGTAGCAACACTTCCACTACATTTCCCTAGTCCAACACTCAATCACTCCCACAGAAGCCTACTTCTACGTTTTTTCTCCTCAAACCTCCACCACCTGCCTCCTCTTCACTCCTAGCTGATGACCTTCTTTTACCGAGAGAATAGCAACGTGATCAAGAGAATTTCACAATCTCCCACCAAATCTGCCCATCCACACAGATCTGTACCCATATAATTGTCACTACCGTGAACTATCAATGTTTCTGACAAAGACTAAATCCATCCCTTTTACCTACTCTAGAACATTGCTTCAGCAAAAAAACACAAAAACAAAAAACAAAAGTCCTCTTTATTTCACTTCCCCATCCGTTGGCCAATTTCTTTACCTTCTGTTTACGGTAAAACTTCTTGAAATACCTGTTTACAACTGCTGCCTTGAATTTCTCCTCTCCCACTCTCGAACACCCTCCACATTTCACCCCCACCCAAGATTAAGCTTCTGATCTGCTCCTTCATAAACCTGCTCTAGTGGCAGTGTTCCCCATCCTCAGTACGTCTCAGTTAAGGGCCAACTTCATCTTTCCAACTCTTAAGGACAATCTTGGAGTTACAGACTTTCCTCTCTCAAACCTCCATTATCGAATCCATATGCAAAGCCTGTTTCCTCTGATTTCAAAACATACCTAGAATCCAAGGATTTTGCTCTCCATTGCTAACACCTCCATCTAAGTCTGGATCATTTTCAAGAGACTCCTAACCTTGTCTCCCTGCTTCACCCAAGCCCCGCACATCCCCCGAGTCAGTGTGGACACACCAAGGTACGATCAAGTCGATGCAGGACCTCGGCTCAAAGCCATCAGGGCGCCCAAACTCCGAGAGGAAGTAGCTTGAGGCGGAGACTACCAAATGGGTAAAGATGTAGAAACACGAGGACCATGGCCTGGCAGAGAGCGTACTGCCGAGATCCCCCTCGGAGGCCGGGGAGTTGTGGGGGAGTGCGTCGCGTCCTGGGCTCGGGAAGCAGCTCCCGCCACACCTCACCTGGCCTGTGCCGCGCCGGAACAGCACCGAGTCCTCCTGCTCCGGGACGCCACTGCCTCGGTCCATTGCCATAGCGAGGCCGCTGTGGGGTGCCGGCGTGGGCTGCGTCCCTCTGAGGATGACGACTTCCGCTGCCGGGGCCCCTGGGAGCGGAAGACCACGGTGGCCTGGAGGGCTCCGCGCGCTCTTCCTCCACAGTCGGCCTTCCTTGAGCCGTCGCGTTGGTTTTTATTTTGGGTATTTTCTCAGTTCTCTGATTTTCCTTTTTCATATAGGCTGAAGAGTGATTCGACCAGGGTGTTTTTGTTTTAAATAGTAACTTTTCTTAGAAAATACTGTTCATTGCAGATAATTTAGAAAACATGGGTAAGCAATATAAGAATAAGTCCCGAGTTAACCGATAATGATATATAGCTACCATTTAAAAAAGTTCTTTTCAGAGTTTTATGTATTTCAGGACACCCAGTTAAGTTTGAATTTCGAATGAACAACGAATACTTTTTTAGTGTAAGTTTGGAGCATGCAGTATTTAAGAGAAACTAGAAAAAGTTTTTGTTTATCTGAAATTCAACTTTAACTGGGTGCCCTATGTGTGTATTTTCTAAGTAGGGCAACCCTGCCCCATTGGGACTGGGGACAAGAGGAAATAGTGCAAATATGCTGACATAGTGCTGTGGCCAGGCTGTGAGTAAAAAAAAAAAAAAAAGCTTTATGTATTTAATTTTCACGACCCTGTGAATGAGGGACTATTATTCCCTAATTATGCTAAAGATACTATTTTTTAAAGATTTTGTTGTTTTAAAGATAAGGAAATGGAGGCACAGAACATTTACATAGCTGCCTGGAAGTTCATGCCTTTTAGACACTTCCCAACTTTAACATTTAGGTTAATATCCATTCTCCCAAATCTGTTCTAGTGAAAATTTGAACTTAAAAAAGTGGGATCAAAATAAGTGAATGGGACTACATCAGACTTTCATCCTTTGCACAGAAGAGGAAACCAGCAACAAAATGAAAAGGCAATGCACTGAATGGAAGAGGATATTCACAAATGATACAGGTGATAAAAAGCTAGGTTCCAAAACATATAAAGAACTCATAGGAGTCAATAGAAAAAAATCATCTGATTAAAAAATGTGTACAGGTCCTGAATAGAAATTTTTTCAAAGAACTCATACAGATGGCTAACAACCACATGAAAAGATTCTCAACATCACTAATCATCAGGGAAATGCACATCAAAACTGAAATGAGATTATTAACACACACCTGTCTGCATGGCTATTATCAAAAAGACAAGAAGTAACAAGTGTTGGTGAAGTAGAGAAAAGGGAACATCATGCACTGTTGGTAGGAAAGTAAATTGGTGCAACTACAGTAGAAAACAATGTGTAAGTGCCCCCCAAAATTAAAAATAGAACTACTGTATGACACATCAATTCCACTTCTAGGTATTTATCCAAAGAAAATGAAAACACGAATTTGAAAAAAAATAGGCATTCCTATGTTCATTGCAGGGTTATTTAAAATAGCCAAGACATAGTTGCAACCTAAGTGTCCACTGATAGATGAATGGATAAAGAAGATGTGATACGTATATATGTATGCATATGTGTGTGTGTATATATGTATGCATACCTGTATGTAGGCACATATGTACATACAATGAAATATCACTCTGCCATAAAAAAGTGAAATCTTGCAATTTACAACATGGATGGACATAGAGGGTATTATGCTAAGTGAAATAAGACAGAGAAATAGAAATACCACATGACTTCACTTTAATGTGGAATCTAAAAACAAAATAATAAGCAAAACAAAGACTCATAGAGAAAACAAACTGATGGTTGCCATGGGGGAGATAGGGAGATTGTGAAAATAGGTGAAGGGGAAAAAGGAAAAAAAAAGGCAATCAAATCTTGTATATGGTCCAAGGATGTACATTTTCCCCCATGTTTATGTGTTTGTCTTTACATGGATCAAACAGGTTTATTAGTCAGTAGGAGCTTACCATTTACTTTTCTAGTATTATTCTTTATTAAGAATTTAGGATAGCCACATGGCTTCTAGGTGCATACTATAATTTTACTAAAAAAAAAAGTTTCCACAAGGAAGTTTGAGGGTTCCCCTTTGGCTTCAATAGATAGCAGAAATAGATGTGTGTTTTTCAATGTCACTTAGATTTTTCTGTCACAAAAAGTCTTGAAATGGCATTTGATGCAGAAATTTAAACAATTTAGAACTAGATTTCTTTAAAATATTCTTAATTTACATAAAGCATATAATTCAGTGGTTTTTAATATATTCACAAGGTTGTACAGCCACCACTGTCTAATTCCAGAATATTTTCATTACCCCAAAAAGAAACCTTGTATCCATTAGTGGTTACTCCCCATTCTTTCCTCCCTTTAGCCCCTCACAACTAGTAATCTATCTGTCTCTATGGATTTACTTATTCTGGATATTTCATATAAATGGAATCATATAATATGTGGCTTTTTGTATCTGTTTTTTCACAATGTAATGTTTTCAAGGAGGAATTAGTATTTAATGTTTCAAATGGCAGGTTCTTTGTTGAGAAGATCTTTTTCAACTCACTAGGACCTGGTTCCTCAACAAAAATGAACCTGTAGAATTTTTGTCCTCAAAAAGTTCTTTTTTTCCTGGTGGTGACACCCAGATTTGAATTAGTGTGTTTTACAAAGCTATTTCATATGATAGACAAGGCACTCAAAGCACAATATAGTGAATTTCCAAAGAAAATCATCATACTTGAAGGGACTTACATAATATTACATTTAACCTCACGAAATGAAACCAATCTTTGTACATGTAGAATTTTCATACCAAAACCCTACCTTCAGTGACTCTTGGAACTTGCCCATGATCAAATAAGGGAATCAAATGATTAGTGATCAGGTTTCTAGCTTGAATAACATATGTTGGAATTGTCACATAGAATAGTGAATAAAAGATAAACCAAACCAATTAGTTCCTTACCTTTATCTTACTTAAGGACCTAGGGTCTGGGTTTCAGGGATGTGTTCATGATTTGAATATAAGAATGCTCACGAGGGGAAAGTGGATGGGGAGGGAAGGAGAAGGGGATTAAGGAGCATTATAATTAGCACACATAATACAGGTAGGTCATGGGGAAGGCAGTATAGCACAGAGAAGACAAGTAATGACTCTAGCATCTTACGCCAATAGACAGTGACTGCAATGGGGTGTGGGGGGGGCACTTGATGATATGGATGAATGCTGAAACCACAATATTGCTCATGTGAAACCTTCATAAGATTGTATATCAATGATACCTTAATAGAAAAAAGAATGCTCACAGAACTGCAGCAGAAAGTTTAAAACTCTAAATGATGTTTTGAAAGAATATTTGAACGATGTAGTATAATTTATAAATGATATATATATATATATAATTAGCTATCCAGTATGTGAGGTTGACTCTCTACACTCACATTATATATCAAAATACATGCTAGGTTATCTTCACAAACTGAAGACGTGGGAGATCTTAAAACAGAAACAAGAAACCATGCAAGGATTGAAAACTCAAATACCTTTTGGGAGTCAGACAGGTAAATAATGTAAATTAGTTAAGGAGGAGTAAGCAATAAGGGGTACCAGGTACTGCAATCAGTTGAGACTATCCCTCCATACCCACTTACTCATTCCACCCATTCCCCCACCCATTGGCATTCAAGTTCATATTAAAAAAATTTCAACGTCAGACAAGTCTGCCGGCTGTCAGTCTGCATAATCATTTGTAAAGAAATTAAATATTTGATTATGTTATTTAAAAGTTTAACAAAAGCAACAAAAATAAAAAGAAAGGACAAACAATAGTTTGGAAAACATTTGTAACATGCAAGACAAGTATTCTCTCCTTCTGCCATGGCAGCCATTGAAGAAAGACAGCCGTGGCTCTCGCTATCCTGCGGCTGTGGGCCTCAACAAGGGCCACAAGATCACCAAGAACATGAGCAGGCAGAGGCACAGCTGATGCAGTACATGCATCGCCAAGCACCACAAGTCCATCGGGACATGATCTGAGAGGTGGGCAGCTTTGTCCCATACGAGCAGCATGCCATGTCGCTGCTCAAGGTCTCCAAGGACAAGCGGGCTCTCAAGTTCATCAAAAATCATCATACCTTTTAGGAGTCAGGCAGGTATTGGCATTATACATTGGTGCCAAGAGTAAAAGAGTGAAGCAACATCCTGATTGCCAAGGACTGAACTTCCACCCCTCTGTGCATAATAAAACCTTTTCAGAAAAAACACACACTAATATTCTTTATATATTAACAAAAAGCTTGTCAAAAGTAAAAGTAAAAACCACAAAACAAAAAGGTAAGAACAAGCTATTCAAAGAAGAAAAAAAATAGCTGCCAATAAATATGAATATATGTCTAAACTCTGGAAGCTCTGCTCTCAGTCTGCCTGGTTTCATATCCTTAACCTGGCATTTACTAGCTGGATGACCTTGGGGAAATCCCTTAATTAGAATCTCAATTTCTTTATATATAAAAAGGGACATAATCCAAATATCCAATAAACATATGAAAAGATACCCAACCTCTGCAGTCAAGGAATTGTGAATTAGAAACTAAAATACGATTTTTCACTCAGGTTGGTTAAATTATTAGAGATTAATAATATGCTGTCAAGGGCATGGGAATAGGAAGTACTACCCTGTTGTTAGAAAATATCAGTTTAAAATTACAAACATGTATACCTTTACCCTAGGGATCCTACCTTTAAGAATCTATTCTTACAGAAACAAAAAAATCAATTCATGGGGATAAGTATGATGATATATATCACAGAATTGCTTGTAGTGTGGCAAAAGCTTTAAAATATCCTGATTATCCATGACGAAGGAAATGACTGGATAAACTACTGCACATCCACACTATGGTTAAATCTATTTGTACTGGCTTGCAGGCATGGCTATTAAAAAAAAAAAGTATCCAGTCACAGCTAAATTTCACATTTTTGTTTAAAAAACTCCTTGTAGTGGGTTTAATGGTGGCCCCCAGAATGGTATGTTCACCAAATACCTGGGAAAAGGGTTTTGCTGGTGCAATTAAAGATTGCAAAATGA